CTCTTGCTGTCACTCCACCAGGGGTTCTTCAGGTCCCACAGTATAAGAGGACTTCTTTCCCATTCTCTCTCCATCCAGCTTCCAGAAAGCCCTTTCCTATCTGTGCTTGTGAAGTCTACATGCTCTCAGAATGCAGGCGCCACTACACAACATTTTTAAGGACACACTGGTAGATGAGGCCTTGGTGGAATGGGACTTCTGGGGGGCATTAAGATGTTTTGTATACAATGCATGAAAACAGTGATCCTCACTTCATAATTCTAGTGCTAGGGATGCAGTAACAAAAGTGAAATTTTATCTTACAACCCTGCAAAATCTGCATATATATATATATATGTATATATATATATATATATATAAGAAAAAATGACTGGCCTGCATATTTGGCTCAAAACAGTGCTTTTTATATTCCTAATGAAAGGAAAAGTATTGGCTCGGGACCCCCAAGGCCAAGTTCTCAGCACAAAGATTTATTTGCCCAAGAGGGAAACTCCCCAAAGTTAGGGTTGGGGCAGGGTTTTGTTTTTGTCTTTCCAGGAGAATGAAGGCATCCAGCTAAGGAATCTGAAGACCATTGGACAAATGAGACATCTGAAGGAAAAGAATCATCCAGAGAAAACGTTCCAAGAAAAAGAGTGAATTGGCTTATTGGTATAGCTAGCCCATTTCCAACAGCATAAAAATTTCATAAGTCAGTCGACTACTTCCCAGAGAGATGCCCAGGCAGCTCGAGAATTCATCCTGAAGATGTTCGTGGACCTGAACCCTGACAGTGACAAAATTATCTACTCCCACTTCACATGCGCAACAGATACTGAGAACATCCGCTTTGTCTTTGCTGCCGTCAAGGACACCATCCTGCAGCTGAACCTGAAGGAGTACAATCTTGTCTAACTGTGCCTCCCAGAAACCATTCTTCCCTTCCCTGTGGGCTGTTGAAGATAACCAAGAAGGACTGTATTTCTGTGGAAAAGAATTTGCATAATACTAATTTATTGCAGTTCTGGACTCTGTGAGCATATCCACAGAGCTGTGATAAATACTATGATTTTATCTAAACTATTCAGGGGAAACAGAATGCTGAAGTACAGTCCCAGCACCTCTCTCTCTCTCTCTCTCTCTCTCTCTCTCTCTCTCCTCCATTCCTTTCCTTCTCTCTCATCCCATTTTCTAGACCAAAACACAGCTGATTTTTCTTCTTCCTGCTGATTTTTTTCCTCTCATATTACAATGGCCTTTCCCCTAGTTCCATTCTTGGTCAAGTTTCTTTCTTGAGTGATGCAGTCAGGACAGTGTCATTTGATTGAAGTCGTCTTACATCAGCTTCATTTAACAGTTCTTCTGCTGAAGGAATGTATGTATTACTACTATGGTTTTAAATGTATCTCTGGATGCACATCACATCTAGTATTTCGTTTTCAATACATGCATACATATATATGTAATATATATGAATATATATGTAATATATATGAATATATACAAATATATATAAATACATACATATATATATATTTGTAAGTCTTCACAAGTGTTTGTTTATGCTGTTCTGTACAGACATTTAATGCAAATGGTCTTTTTGTAGCCCCAGTTCAATTAAAAATTAAAGCTGGCTTTGGAGTTGGAGTGTGGCTC